AAAGATACACAGACCTCATTATGAATGACTGAAAGGCCTCATGAATTATTTGAATCTTCCACTGTCTGCCAGATAAAACGCGCACTCTAATTCTGTGTAAATAAGGATGGTTATATATATTTCTATATGCACTCTAAAAAATGCTGGGTTGTTTTAACCCAACTTTGGGTCAAATATGGACTAACCCAGCCGTTGGGTTAAATTTTTACATTACATTTTTAACCCAACATTTCGGGTTTGTCCATATTTGACCCAAAATTGGGTTAAAACAACCCAGCATTTTTTAGAGTGTGGAAACTTAAAGCATCTAATGACCTCATCGGAGAGGAATTAACTAAGGTTAAATGTGTGACCTCGTGCTAAAGTGAATTTCAAATGTTTAAAGCTTCAGGTGTGCTATTTTTACAACATTTTTGTCCACTGGAAAAATTAAACAGGTAGCATTTTAATTCACGGTCCTGTTGCCCATCGATAATAACCCTGAATCTACCCCTAAACCTAACCTTAACCCACCTTATATTACACGTAAACACGTTAATGTTTACCTATTTTAAAAGATTATTTTTAATGCAAATACAGATAAAGATGCCTTATACATTGTCTATTCTCATCTGAGGTAAGACTCTCTCAAGGGGCTGCGCAACAGCTATAAAAATCCTCTCTCTGAGCAACCGGCTGCTACTTGTAGCTACTGAAGTGTGTCTGAGAAAAGTTAGCCTGCAGACATTGCTTTTCAAGACCTCCACCTACACGGACAACAAACCCTGATGAGAGCATCAGAAGGAACAGTGTGCTTTATGTTACAGGTGTCATGGTCGCGGTGTTCGAAAAGAAAGCACACATACTGTATGTATTAGAATGCTATATAAAAGACTAAAAAGACACAAGCTGCTTGGTTATAAACGGAACTTTAGAGAAAGGAGATCGCTGGGCGGTGAAACATATCTGAATAACAGAGGATGTGTCAGACAGCTGAGGTACCGAGAACCTATATACTGTGGAGGATACATATGTCATCTATAGTACCTTGCTTTAAAGGAACTGTCAAATCTGCAGGACTGGGCAGTTGCAGAAGGGAAACATCATTGTAGGGACTTTCATTCCGCACCACTGAAACGTGAAATTCTTAACTCAAAAAACATCAAAACCTAACATCAAAGGTGTGTTTTTGCCCCTAACACAAACTACTGCAGAGTTTAAAAGAGTTTAAATTATTTCATATTATAATCTAAGCAGTATCTTAAAGCCACTAAGATGAAACAGTTAACTACAGCAACCAAAAAAACAAGATGAACACTGTAAAAAATTACCTTATTGATACAGTGATTTGAGGTCATTTCTATAACAGATAACTAAGGGGATGTTTACATGGCAATAATGTACTAATAACGAAGAAAAGATGTAACTGTGTTTTTCGCATACAGACAACAACGTTGTCAATGTTCACATGGATCAGAGAAAATGACTACAAAGTTGTATTATTCATGCCAGACCAGTAGTTGGCGATGTCACTTTGTAAAGAAACACTACGTGACTGAATACGCATTACATCACCATTTTCACAAATTCACGTTTTTGTAGTTTACACAGAGATGATGATAACAGTATCGTTTTCAGGCCCCCAAAGCAGTTGTCGAAGAAATGAACGGCCAAAAGGCATAAAAAGTTTTTTGTTTTTGTGTGAAACGAGTGGGGTCACTTTTGTGAAATTTCAGTAGTCATATAAAAGTGTAGCGATATATGAAGCACTGCTCACACAAATCACTTTCAAACAAAGCAGCTTTATTTTGACCAACGCAGCGAGACCAATTTGATCTTATAGCAAAACTTTCTGTGGAGAAATCTTTCGCCAAAATTCCAATCACATGGATTTCTATTGAAATTACTGAATTTCCAACACAATCTCACAGCAATTCTTAAATATTTTATGTTTTAGCGAATTGGTGGCTAATGCATATTAGTTTGGATGATCTCATTTGTACGTTTTTGTTCGATCTGCTTATGCTCCAGTGATGGGTCTGTTTAGAGTGTGAGGTCCTTCATGCTTTTTTAAATAATCATACGAATTCATCCGCAATTGCCACCTCGAAACATAGTTAAAGCTACACTGTGTGATTTTTACCCCCATCTAGCGGTGAAAAGGTACATGACCATCCAGTGAATATTAGTTTCTGTTCCTCTCAATTCCGATTTGGTTTTAACTCCTACGGTGGCCAATGTAGTCCAAGATTAACGTGGCTTCCAGTTCGACCTCATCCATGAGTGTTAACTCAAACGTAAACGTGAAAGCTTGAACGGGTATGTCCCTCTTTGGCTAATGTACTTTCAAGATGGAGGGGCAACATGGCGACCGACATTGGAACCCCTTACCCGTATGTATTTTCAATGGCATATTACACAATCACGAGAATACTTTATTACTTGAACGAAGTAAATATACATTAATGAGCACATATTTTTGAAAGAACTAAGTGTTTTTAGCTAAGAATAAACTAAAAGAGTTACACAGTGTAGCTTTAAATTGTCCAGTGAGATCAGGTTGAAATTTTACCAAACAAATTCACCGCCGAACAACAGTATGGTGATATGAGAAACTTTAAAGTAGTGCCGTTTCAATTGACGACGGAGAATATTCAAAAATATTAGACCACACTCATAATAATTTAATTCAAAAATGGAATTAAAATATTTTCCAAGTGCTATAAACCTTTAATAACTCTGTGAAGAACAAACTGATTTTTTTTTGTTATTTGTGCAAACAAATTCACAGCTCTAAAATCTCATTCAAAAAGATATCTTTTAAATGTGGGTATGACAGTCTCTCACAGAACTACAAGCGGGAATATTTAGGGAATAAACACAAGAAAAAGATCATCAGGGAATAGCAAAACTTGGATTGTGCGATACTCAAAGCTTAAGGTCAATTACTCAACATCAGAAGAATATTGAGAACAAGGACCACTATGCAGATTTTTAAGGCTTGAACATTCAGCAAAAAATAATAAGAATAATAATGTACAAGTGGCATTTTGCTGAGTTTTCTTATTAGCGTGTTGGCATGTACAGAAACTGGCCCGCTTGTAGTACATCAACAAACTCTTTTCATGAATACTGCTCTGAAATGTCTGTGTTTTCAAATACAAGGCTTTCTTTAATAGCCTCTGATCTAATCCATCAGTTGACACGGCACAATTTCAGCCATTGCTGATTGTAACATGGATATTGATTCTGGCTTTCCAGAATGAAAACAGTGATGTCACCAATAAGCAGTTACTTTGACTAAACCCAATCCAATCACTTCTAAAAATGTTTATTCTGAGATCAAGCTGGGTCTCAGCTGTAAAAGTAAACCTGCTTGACTTGAGAGAAAGTTATGGGGTTTGTCAGAGGACCTCGGGGAGCACCTGGAGAGTACAGCAGACACAGGAATCACTCAGGGGATGCTGTGATCCTAAAGCAGAGAGACAGGGACGAAACAGCAAACAGATCAACGTGTGCGGCCCCTCGCACAGCTGTCTCCGGTTAAATAATGGCTCCTGCTGATCCCATCCTGCTAGCACAATTACCCAGAGCTCCGGAGACCAGAGCACAGACGCTCAGAATGCTTGGATAATGATTCCCAGCAAATTGATGACACTGGTGGCCTCGTTTGCACAAGCTAGATTAACCTGAGCGGGACAGTTTGGTGCTCCTCGATGAACGAGAGCTGAGCAGATACAGGGGAACTGCAGTAAAAGCAGCACTTCATAGTGCGTGTTTGTGAAGTGGATTACATCCTAACACACTGGCAGTTTATCACCGAAAGCACAACTCAAGTGTAATGCATCCCTCACTTGAAGCAGTAAAACAAACACGTATTTATGTGGATTGTTAACATACCATGAAACCTGTTGATTCGGGTAAACAAAAGCACACGGTTTTCTTATACAGCGAAGTTTGTGTGGCGAGAATGTCACCTTAAATGAAACTCAGCACCTGTGGAAATGGTTCCCCCTGGACTTCCATTATTGCCAATCCATTGTTTCTAGTCTATCAGCGTTTGGTGCTACATTAAAAACAACCAATTGCTACTGCCGGAGTGGATGTACTGAACCGTAAATAATCATAGCAGGTTTTCACCCATCCCATCTCTTGGCCCGTGTTGCTTTGTCAGTGCGTGTGCATTGATTTTCATTCACCAAGATTAATTGGCCTCTTTAATAGACTAATTTCACAGAGGAACGGCAATAATCAGGGACAAATGAGCAACAGACTGTGTTTGTTTACTTTGCCTTTATTATGAAGTGCTTAAAATGCCTTGTGTCTTGTGCTTACATAATTTGAACATTGGCTCAAAAAGTCGCAGGACATTTTTTTTGTTTGTTTCTTGAACAGGTTTAGTGGATTCATCTACAGTAAAAAGGTTTTTCCTCTTCAAATGAGTATCTACATGAAGATCATTTCACAAACTGAGCTGTTGTTCCTCTTTCGATATATAAAAAAGGAAGATTGAGCTAGGTAACATCTACCTGAATCTAGGGTTTTTGTGCTAATTTTTAAGGATTTCTACAATGAAGTGCTTTTGAACTCAGGGACACCCAAACTGGTGAAAACAACGTGTCAGATCTGAGCTGAGCTGGGAATGCAGTGCGAGTGCATTACAGAACGGCTATGCAGATGGCACACCTTCCTATCTAACACAGTCTCATCCCAAATCGTCATATAACTGACGTTTTGGGACGTATTTTGACCATACGTCAATATCCGCCTTTTTAGGGCCCCCTTAAACGTCGGTAGATGGCGATCCCGGGCCGTCATACAACTGACGCTTTACCTTTAACGTCAGTTAGGTGACGGGTTAGGTTTAGGGTTAAGTTTAGGTATGGGGTAGAGTTAGGATCCCATAACCTCATCTACCGACGTTTAAGGGGGCCCTAAAAAGGCGAATATTAACGTATGGTCAAAAGACGTCCCAAAACGTCAGTTATATGACGATTTGGGATGAGACCGGGTTGTCCTATCACTCAAGTCCTTTTTGTCCTTGCGTGTCCCTTTAAGTTGAACCATTAAGAAAAAAAAAACATTACATGTTGAACACTTCTAGAGAATGGTTCTGAATTGCTTAGAGTGGAGTTATAGCACTTTGGGCCTACATCCTAAATCTACGTTAAATTCGAGGCAGGCAGTGCATAAGCAGAGAGCAAAGGAAGATGGTTTAGACTTATGGATTTAGTCTCACTAAACTCTACATTGGCATTTTCCCTGATGTGGCATTTTTAAATGTTTATTAAGAGTATTGGATCAAAACGTACCTGATTTAGAAAAAACTGCTATAGGTAATACTTTATTACTTTCAAAAATACCATGCATTATGATTATTGCTTTTTATATTCTTAAGAGAACCCCTAGAAATATTTCCCCCTGATACTATCTCTACATTTTGGCAAAATTATAAGCTTTGTGGTATTGGCATAGATTTCTTTTCTTTTTGCATGCAGTATGTAGGTATACAAAAAGATAATCAAAACAAACAAACAAAAAAACATTTTTTTCTTCAATTATTACCATGGATCTAAATGCTTTGGCGTGTTAATAAGACTGGTGTAACCCAAAAGGCAACATTATTCAGAAAGAAAAATGTCCAAAAAAAAAATATCACACTTTCAGTGCATCATAGAGAATCATACATCCTAGATGAAGTAATTAAAACAAACAAATAATAAATATTTTAAAAAACTAAATAAATAAATAAATAAATACCGGTTTACCTCGATTGTGAATACGTTTGGGCCACTTGCAGCAGTGTGATAATATCCACTGACAATACAAAAGAGTTTTATTTTAATGAGGAACATGGTGTCACTCAAACCTTCATTCGATGCCAGTCATAGTCAAGTGTTGCGCACGGCGTCGAGGTGAATTGTCTGAATGTCATTTAAGGACATGGTTGCTGAAGTGCATGCGAAGGTCCCATATTCCTTTAAGGTCAACTTTGCAAAAGAAACAGAAAAAAATTGATAAAATTGTGCTATTATTCGGTTTCATTTTGATTGTGAGACATAACTGGGTAAGATAGCGTAATCATCCTAACACGTGACGGGAAGGGGGGGAGTGTGCGTTTACAGACCGGAAGTCACGCCTCGACGGACGCGAGCGGCGAGAACGCGCCTTTAAAGCACGCCGACTCGTAGTGCTTGTTCAGATAGGACTTGAGTGCGAAAGTTTTGTTGCATCGCTTGCATTTGTAATGCTTAAACGCGGAGTGGGTCTGCATGTGCGCCCGCAGGTTGGAGCGGTCGGCGAACGCTTTCCCACAGTGTGCACATCCAAAGGGCTTCTCGCCCGTGTGAGAGCGCATGTGGCCCTGCAGTAGCCAAGGTCTGCTGAACGCTTTCCCACATATGTCACACTTGTGCTTGAGGTCATGGGTGAGCAGGTGCATGGCCATGGCTGGCATGGACACGTACACTTTCCCACATGTCGGGCACTTTTTGGCCATCTTGCTGTCCAGGCTCCGGTGCGTCTGTTTGTGCCTGCTCAGGTTGGAAGACGTCGCGTAGGTTTTGCCACATTCGTTGCACGTGTGCCTCTGGAGGGTCCGTGAGCTGCTGATCACCTTCCGACGGGACCTGCCATCCGTGATGAAGAAAGCGTCCACGGTGTAACCTTCGCTCACCGCATTGTCACCGTTGATGTACCCGGACGTGATCTCTGACTGCGGGCTGTCCGGTTGGTCCGAGTCAGGTGCTCCGTAGTCACTGTGGTTGCTGTCATAGATGGGTCCCGGGGAAGGTACTTTAGTGCCACCGTCACTTTCTCCATCATAAACGGCCGGGGTGATGTAGTCACTGATGTAGCCTAGCGTGGAGAGAACAAGATCTTTTATTCAATTATTCATATTCACAAGGGACTCGAGTGAGGACAATGGGGTTCGGCGGTGCAACGGCCACTTTTCCGCTCAATTTATCTCCACCTTGGCAAAAGGCGACGGGCAACCAGATTGTGCCAGTGCTGCTCTTTGAGATTCATTAAAATGTTCAACAAATTCAGCATTTCTCTTTGAAGACAATTAGACTTAATGACCATTCACTGCAGGAATTTTCAAATAGAACACATGTCAGTTTGACTTCCCATTATTCCAGAGTTATTTCAGGACAAAGCCATGGAGCTGTGAAGGATACCGCATTTACTGTGGACTTACAGTACGAGCACAGATAGCACTTTTTTTCTTACAGTGGGAGATTAATTACCCCTTTCTAAAGGCACCACTATTAGCACAGTGTGCAGCTGGACTAAGCGTTTCTTTGATTTGCAGAATAAACAAAACACCTAAGCTCATCTGAAAGTGACTGGGCTCCAAGTTGCTGAGAAGTTACACGTTGTTAACAGCAGCAGATTTTCAGAAGGCATGTGTCATGCATGTGGCATTATATTTGCCTTTCCATTATGGTTTAACATAAATCACAAGCAACGCAACAGCGGTGCCCAATCCTTTAAGTGGATATCTACTTTCTTCCTGCAGAGTTTCATTTATACAGTAAATGAACCTCTATGAAAATCTCGCTATGGTTGGATTTGGCTAAAGTGTGCTAAATAAACAAACAAAAAAAAATAACATATGCATTCCTTTGCAATTACCTTTGTCGTGTATCCGAAAGCTAAGATCGGTCCTGGACCTGCCGTACGCGCTCTCAAGTTCCGTGGATGAGAAATCATCTAGCTTCACCTTTTTCACCAAAAAAGACCTTGGCATGTTTAGAGCGCAGAGCTGAAATCCTCTTCCAGCACGTTATCCTCTCTTTATCCACCGCACAATAGAAGAGTTGGTCCTGTAGGGCTGAAAGTCACCTGAGCGGGAGGAAAGACGAGGAAGCTCCGTTGCTTCAGCTGTGCACGATCCGTTCTGCACAGGCGAAATGCAACTTCAGCACTGGACAGCAGCAGATCCGCCTCCCCGAGCCCGAGTGTCAAAGTGCGCTTAGACCCAAATGGAAGCGCTCCAAAAATGGGCAGCTTTAAATGCGTGCAGGTTTCCGGAGAAGCTATTGTTGTTGTTGCTGTGAAAGCGAGGGGAGAGAGAGAGAGAGAGGGAGAGGTGTCCGCTGCTTCCTCTGCTCGCGCGGTGTCGGTTTGATGTCTGAGCTCTGCTGATCAGCTGCTGGGATTTATAAGCGCGCGATCAGGTGGGAGATGGAGATGGAAGTGCTTAATTTCATCCATCAGAAATCTCCCGGGAACAACATTGGACGAGAATGATTTATTGATGCTGTTACTCGTCTCTCTCTCTTTTTTCCCCACATTCACGGCGCCCGCCATGTTTCTGAGGAATAAGAATAAAATGTATTGTTTGGAAAAGTCGAGTTACGACAATATTGAGCGTCATCCAGGCTTAGAAAATTCGCATTTCTTAAATTAAAGTGAATCACATGTATATATTTTCACATATATTTTTTGGTATATTTGAAAGAACCTTTTAGTTTTTCATTCCGTCGATCTATAACAGAATAAGTCAATACAAAATAACAGTTACACCAACTTGGTCTGTTCCTGTTTCCTTTAGTCGTATTCTGCACCTCTACTCTGAAAGCTTGCATGGGACTTCACCTGAAATATTATACACAGCAATGTCTTGCAATTTGTTTTATTTAATAAATTTATTATATTAAATAATAATTTATTACTATTTATTAAATAGGCATTTGCTTTATATATATATTTGTTGTGTCATTTGTCCAAAATAGAAAAAAAATATTCTTGCTGTTTTTCAAAACAAATAAGTTTTTTTTTTTTAAAAACTGTTCTTAAACATGCACTAATAGCCTATTGTTTAATCAGAATTACTTAAAATCCCATCTAGTCCCTCCTATCATAACTAATAAACTGCCTATCTCTTTGGTTTGTATCACTGGGGTTAGGTTTATGAAAGGCACATTTTATGCTCCAAAGTGAAGCAAAGATAATATTGCGTCTTATTTCAAAAGTTATTTAAAAGGATAATAGCAGATAATAGATAATAGCATTTAACTTAAACTTTGATTTTCAAACCCTCTGCTCTGAAGCGTTCACAAAATGCATCCACAAACTCCACAAAACCCTTCAAAGTGGTTTTGCAACAGATTTACAAATTTTAGTCAATATATTCCTTCCAGTTAGCAAAATTAGTAATTTATTTGATTCAAAAGGGCTCAAACCGCTTAAATTGGAACAAAGTGTTGCCGAAGTTCATTACACTTGAAAACTTGAGAAAACTCTTTAAATTACATTATGTATATTGCTTGAAGGAATGAAAATAAAGATGTTATTTTTACAGTATCTTGTTCTTTTGGCAGTGCAACAGAAAAGTTAAAGTCCTCAATGATTAAAAAAGAAAAAAAAAACTAAATATAGAGGCCAGAAGACAATATTCTTGAACCTAACCATATAACCTTATGAGCTGGATTCAATTATTTGAGAATATAAAGTAAGTTTTTCAGACATAAAGTACTCTTAAACATGCCTATTTCCATGTTTAACTATAGTATTATCTAAAATCCCATCCACTCTGTGCTATAACTAATCACCTGCCTGTGACTTTCTGATTTTTAGCAGCAGTGCTATAGGTTGCGTAGGCTAGTTTACAGCTGGTGCTCGTGTGCAGTGGCAAGCAGGCAAGCACAGAGGAGCACACGATTCAGGCTTTGCAGCTGCTGTGGCCCCCTCCATGAGCAGATGGAGCCTAGTGGGAACAAGCCGGGAATTGGGGGTGGGGGGTACTGGAGCAGCATAGGGGAACTCAAAATCACTACAAGAAAGAAATGAGAAAAGTGTTTGGTTTGTTGATGCAAATTCAGTAGTTTGGTCTTCAAGCAGTTTGTTCACTCCTAAAATCAGAGGATCAGAGCTTACATATACTGTATCCTGTTCTGTCAGTTTAGCACTAAACTGGATCAGTTTAATCTGTAATCTGGGTTTTCAGGTCAAATCATACCAAATATCCTGATTCTAGCTGGTTAGGTCATCTTAAGTACATTCAATTGAATTAACATAAAGTGTACACACATAGAAACAAAGAAATCAATATAGATTGCCGCAAGCAGCAATCATCCGGGTCCAAGCAATGGCCGATGTGAATGATTAGTGATTTAATTGAAATGTATCTTACGAAGTGGTTTTATAGCTATATCTTTACTGAAAGTTAGAGCTTGATCATATGTGTAGTTTACTGTGTGGACTTATATTCAACTTTTAAATTTAGATTAAACGCATGGATAGGACCATTTCGAATAAATGTGAAGATTTGCAGCTCAAGGCTTTAACTGTTGCAAAAAAAAGTTATTAGCTTGTGGATAATTTTCACAAAAAGCAGTACACATATACATTACCACAAGATGTAGAAATATATATATTTTTGTAATAGTAGGCCATTCAGATTTGGTGTTATAAAATTTGATTGGCTGCTGGTATCCAAGTCATTTTGATGCATTTATCAACTTCATGGATCATTGGTGGAATTTTACAAAACGTGTTATGTATTCTCAGAATGTCCTTTTGTCTTTGCATATCAAGTTTTGTTAAGCTTGGGCATTGCGTTCAGCAGCTATAGATCAATGCATACAAATTGGTGCTGCCTGACAAATGAATTAACTTATAGGTCTAAAAATGCCAAATTCTTTTGATAGCTTTTTGTTCACACTGCTGTGGGCCTATTTTGGCAAAGGTCAGACCAACGGCCCAGGAGGAGTTCGAAATAGTAGTTCTCAGGAAAATTTTATAGGAGACGTTATGTAGGGATTCTGATTGAAAATATTTTTTTAGGGTTCTAAAATTTATGATCCAAAATCAGAGGTAAGAGACTCAAATCATATGACTTAACTCGAGTCAGACTCCAGTCGCAATTTTCTCGACTTGAGACTACTAGTCTACTCTTTTTGTTCAGTGCTGAATTCTGTATGCTGGCAAATCCTCCAATTATAACAAACAAAGTGTATATATTATGAAAGCTTCATTGATAATAACAGATGTTTAATATTGCGATGAACTGTCAGTTGTTTAGGAATTATTAAGGGAGCACACAGTCATGCCAAACCATGCACGCAGCGCAGGAGCTGCTTGCTTTTATGTTGTAACAATGGTTTGTGTGTTAATGCCTTAATAACAAATAATTTATCAGGAGCATTTATGCGGATGTGTATGGTGGCGACATGTAGGCTAAATTAAAATTTGGACGTACAGAAAAAAATCTTTTTGCGGACGGGAGTGGGACGAAACATAAATGTTGCAGGCGGGAGAAAGTAATATAAAGTAGTTGAGAATGACCCACATATTAAAATAAATAACCAGGTTTAAATCATTTAAATGATTAGATTTGTTTTCAAAAAATCTCCATTTAATATTTTGTGTTATGGGATCAAATCACCTGGAAATTTAGAGTAAGAACATACAAACTTTGGCATACAGTACTAATTTAGAATGCAATATCTTTTTATTTTTTACAAGATGTGAAAAGTTTTATTAATTCTTGTTTACTTTTGTTCATTTAATTTATTTTAATGATATGATATTTTAAGTTTATTTATTTTTGTAACTCATCAGCCGTCTATGTATAAATAAAGTAATAAAATTCCAACGTTAAAAAAAGGGTAAAACTAGCCTGAAAATTGGCTAGCCTGAAAAATTTTTTAGCCTGAAAAAAAACTTTATTGCGACTCGACTGAACTTGACTTGACAAAGAGTATGACTTGACTTGACTTAACCCTTACAACACAATGACTTGACTTTGACTTGCAATGTTAAGAATTGGACTTGACTTGAGACTTGCATTTAGTGACTTACTCCCACCTCTGTACAAAATGCAAATTGGCTTATTATAACGGCACCTGTCAGGCGGCTTTGTGTCTATGCACATCAGTAGCGTTGCATGATCGTGACAATCCTGGTCTATATATGATTTATGGCCCATGCACTTTTATTGCAAAAAAATAAATAGATAAATAATTAAGGAGAAGGAGAAAAAGAAGACAATGATGATCTGTACAAACACAATCGGTTCTGTCAGGACCACTATCGTCAAATACGATTGACAATTAGCACACAGGTTGGATTGGTGTTATAGTTCCGTTCTGGGCAAGAACTCCCAGCGCATCCATGAAGCTTTGCATGGATAAGAGCAGCGAGAGCAGAATTAAACCCGATTTTAAAATACAGCATAATTCGAGAATTTATTCTGATTCAAGGGGAATCAGAATGCCAAATCCTGCCTGGGAGAGAAGAGGAGGAGCTGGGGATGGAGGAGGGTAATTAGCTCCTGAGAAACGCAATAGCTGCTGATAATACTACTGAAGGAGCTTATATATGTATACAGTGATAGGCGTTGTATTTCTATAGGTAGATGTGGATCAGCTGAGAGTCTTGAATAACGTGACCTGCCAGTACTAACACTACGCTTGATGTTTCAGCACCTTCGTTGCTTGGACCCCTAATAGGTGTGTTTGATAAAAAGCTTTATAACCATCTGTTTCATAACAAACAGCTACTATAAAGCACCAGATCTGAAAGGAGAATAACATCAGAGAATGAGATTTTTTAGATACTACAGATTCACCAATATTGAAATTTTGGCAGAGACCGGTAATTATTGCAAATAACATAAAATATTACTTATTACTTTAATTTTTACAATTTAAAAGACTTAAATTAATTTAGGAAATAAATATTTAAGTTTTATTTTTATTTTTTTATTATATATTTTAAATCCTTGCCATCTCTGAAAAAACACAAATTAATTTAAATATTTTTAAAATTACCATTTTGTAAAAAAAAAAAAATTGCTAAAGATTACATTTAACAGTACTATTCAATGATTAGTGTCTTTAAAGATCAATCTTAAGTGAGCGTTAGATGGTGACAAGGGTAAAGTAATAAATAAAGGGCAATGAGGATGCATTTAATATACTGTATAATATCTAACGATATGATAACTAAACAATAAATCTCTAATATAAGATAATAATGGTTATTGTACTGATATATCATGCATTTCTTTTGCAAGACAATGGTCCACTCAAGCACAACAGAGGTTTCAGTGCACAAATAAAGGGGGCTGCTGGATATTACAGTATCCTTCAGCCTGCTGTTGCAATAATAACACTAAATATTGCTGAGTACAGTCCTCAACAGGCCGGAAATGCTGGCCTAGTAGTAAAACATACGTTGCCCTCTCTTTGAGTAAAACATACTTCATTGGCAAACCGGGGAAACAAATACCAAAGATTCCACTAAAGTTGGTGGGTGGCTCTACAATTCACACACTATGTAATATGTACTACAAACTCTCTGTCTTTCCTCTTT